GGGACAGCAGAGCAGGGGAGGCCCTGGCCTCCTCCTGGGCAGCTCCCAGAGCCTTTGAACAGACATACTGAGCTCTAGGCTCTGCCTCGTAACAGCTTTGATTGTCAAGTGAAATAATATGGAATGTCCAGCCCAGGTGGGTGCTTAGCCAAGTAGCCACTGTCCTATGGGCCTCATTGGTCCCTGGAAGGGACAAGGACCCTGGTGATTCCCTCGGAGGGCAGCCTCCTCCTCTGGAAGGTTCTTGGCTGGCGCAGGTGACTGAGGTGTGAGGCCTGCTTTATTTGGCACTTTGCTTTTTCACTGGGCGTTCTAAAGGCATGTGCAGATCCATGTGCTTCCCAGGGTTCCTGCTGTTGAAGGAGCAGGAACGAGGAGCCTGCGTGGAGCCAGAGTGCTGCGTGGTCCGAGGCTGGCGGGCCACCTCCAGCTCCTCTGACAGTGGCTTGATTACCGTACTTGGTTGTAGGGGCTGTTGGCTGTGACCATGCACAGAGTCGGTGTGTTCCCAGCCTCGGGCGGTCCGTCACCTCCACCCATGTGTGGGGTACAGCTCGTGGCCCAGTGCTTCTAAAACCCCCATCCCCTGCTTTGGCAGTGAGGCCTCAGGTGTTTTTTTTCAGCTGGATCTTATGCCATCTGCTGTGGCCCCATGGTCTGAGTGGGCCCTGAAGCTGGGGCAGGTGTGGCGAGGGCTCTGCTCAGCTGGGGGTCTGAACGATCAGGGGCAGAGACGGCCACAGGGGAGGGCTGAGGACCTGACCTTTGTCATCCTTAGAATGTGAGAAATGGTAACTGTCAGCACAAGTTCAGGCCTGCTGGTGAGCTGTTCCTCAGACCTGGCCTTGCCTGGGCTCTCACCCAGCTGGTCAGCACACACACACACAGAAGGGGGGTGTCTGAGTCAGGGAAACATGGGTGAAACACAGTTAACAGCTGTCTTTGCTGCAGGACTTCTCATCTTTCCTAAATGTACATTGTGACTCCAGGAGGGGAGGATGGGCACTTTCCCAGAACTGACCAAGGAACTCCCCTTTTTCTTTCCTGTGGAGCTTGTCCAGGGGGACTAGTGTTTCAGGATGAGCACCTTGGGAACTGCTTCTAGAATGAATGTGTGGTGTCCCTTGTAGTAGTTTTAGGCATTCCCCTGTGGGTGGGAGGTGGGCGCCGAGTGTGACTTTAAGCTGTTGAAAACCAGGCTTCCTCTTAGTCTGGTATATTTTTTCATGATTCCCAGCAGAGCAGGAAGCAAGCAGGCCCCGCTCATTCCCGTGGCCTGGCGTGTGCCCGGCAGGGCTGTGTGGGTGCGCTCTGCACTGGGGTCTGCTGTGGTGAGCCAACAGCCGTGAGCAGCAGCAGCGGTCATGTGGGCTCGTGACTTCCTGAGAGTGGACTGCAACAGTAGCAGCATCTCTGACATTTTGAGTGGAGGGAGCAGTCCCTGTTTTGGCGTGGTTCACCTTGACACTTTGCTCTTCTGTTGATCAAGCTGGTCACACACAAGGTGGCAAAATGAGGAGCAGGAGCTGCTTCCACACATTGTGGGCGTAAGGATCCTTAGCTGTATTTGCTGACGGTGGGGCTGAGGAGGGGATAAAGTGTCTTCAGCAAGACGGAGGAAGCTGGGGTGGACATGTGGGGAGCATGGGAATGGGTGCAGGGGACCAGTGACACGCCCTCCCCTTCAGCAGTGCGGAGGTGTGGAAGCGTGGGAAGGAGGGCTGGGCCCCCAGGGAGCAGCTGGTTCCTGCCGGCTTTCTCGGGCTCCCAGGTCGGTCTGGTAGGAGTAAAGCACTTACTGGGCTGAGCTGGCTGTTGTGGTTGTCATTTTAATTTTAGCTGTGTCCAGAACTTGCCTAAGGAGTGAAGGTGGAGCTGAGCACATAGCTCTTGCTTCTGACTTTTGCTGCCTTTGAAAATGACCCTTGAATCTGAGTGGTGACATCAGGTGCCTGACCTGTACTCATAGGCACTTGATTTGGTTATGCCCCCTAGGTGTCTGAGGTATTTGCACATTAAAAGTAAATTTGGCTTTTTTCTGAAGAGGAAACTTTGAGATAAGACTTCTGAAGATACGTGGTCTCTCAGACATGTGTGAACATGGTTGATTTTTGTCTTCTACTAAAATTTGCCCCCAGCCCCCAGTACAAAAATCAATATTCTGAACTCGATCCCTGTTTAAAGCCTCACCTGAGGATATGTTTATTGATTTTAGAAAGGAAGGGGCGGGGGTGGGGAGACAGAAGCATGGGTCAGTTGCCTCCTGGTGCCCTGACTGTGGGGACTGAACCTGCAGCTTTTTGGTGTGCAGAATGATGCTCCAACCAGCCCCGGTCTCTAGTCCTAGTTTTGAAATTTCCCTCCAGGGAAGAGAAAACTAAAACTTTCAACACTGGGAAAAAATACTCAAATGATTTCTTGATCTTGCTGTTTTCAGAGATGCAAGAATTTTTATAGAAAGTAGAATTTGCGTCTCATTTTTTCTTTTGTAAGAGCAAACTTGGCAGATTACATGGCAGCTGAGCTTCTTTGCCTTTGTGAGGATAGCTTTCAAGTAATTTTTCCTTCCTCTTCACACTTTCTGGGTGGCGGCTGACAGCAGCAGTTTGCATTCCCCTCACGGCAGATGATGTGGTGGCTCTCGGCAGATGATGTGGTGGCTCTCGAGGCTGATGGGGTTGCTGCTGCCGGCGGGGTGAAGACTGCCTTTGCAGACCCCTCACTGTGAGGCGCCAGGTCGCCAGAGGTCTGGTAGGACATTAGGCCGAGGGCCCTAACACGAGCCCCCCTCTCTTTCTCCACAGAGTTGGGGTTCTGGAGGACTCCTTCACCTTCCTGGGCATCTTCTTGGCCATCATCCTGTTCCCCTTTGGGTTCATCTGCTGTTTCGCCTTGAGGAAGCGAAGATGTCCCAACTGTGGAGCAAACTTTACCTAAAGGGAACAGCATACCTGGCTTTCCTGCATCCAGCTGTCTTTTTCTAATGTAAATGTCGTGTACAATAGCTTTATTTGATTGAGCTTCAGGACTGTTTTGTAAAGGGAGGGGGGATAGATTTGGCGTGTGCCAGCCCGTTCACGGTCACGGAGTGCAGACATGCAGCAACACTGCTCCCAAGGTTAACGGCATCTCAATAAAGCACTGCTTTTATTTTTTGCAGTCTTCAATTTGAGAAAGGTGAGAAGTGCTGTTTTAAATAAATGAGATTCATACCATTGCTTACCTGGTTCTGCTTATTCAGTGCGCAAACACTGCCACTTTAGAAGTCAAGTTTTGTTTGGAAAATTTCAAACATACACAAAATAGACTAGAATAACATACCCATCACCCAGCTTCAACACTGATCAGTTCTGCTATTTCTTGATAGGCATTTACAACTCAAGCAAATGTTCTTATTTTCAAGTTCTCTTTTATTATTATAATGAAACACAATACCTTGACATTTACAGAGCATGCACCTCAGTGCCAAGGACAAGGCAAGCCTTCCTATCCTGGGTGAGGCAGGTAAGTGACCACTCTAGTCCATTTTGTGAAGGCAGGGACTGGTTGGGTGAGTCAAGTGGGCCTGCGAATCTCATCTAATAATCCAGGGTTTATAGCATCCCTGTAAGAAAGCCAGAAGATCCCAGGGTGGACGGAACTCGTGGCCGGGGCCAGGTTGACAGACTCTGCCCCCCATCATTAACACACCTCTAAAACCTATACCCTAGTCCCTCCCCACTGTTGAAAATAATGGGCTTCTGTGAACACTGCTCTTACCTAAATGGTGAGAGGAGCAGTGGGCCACTTAACTGACTTGATTGTGGTTTCTTTGCTGGCTGGAGTGTCTTCTTTCAAGACAGAGGTGCTGCTTGACATCTGCACTTGGCCTGACTCAGTCCTGGGAAGCCCTCACATAGTCCTGTGACATCAGCACCCCCTCGGCTGACCCAGCCAGGAGCAGACTAGGACCATGAACCTGAAGTGTCACACACTGGTTTTATCTGCAGTTGTCCTTGGCCAGTTTCAAGCTTATAGAAAAACGGTATTTATGGTAAGACCAGAGGAGCTGTGTGAGCAACAAGCCTCCTTTCCCTGTCCACACGGTGAATGACCTGGGTGTGACTTTAATTGCGGCTCCTCCAAAACAGGGCCTAGTCCCTGACAGCCTGCGAGGAACTCAGCCTCTTGCTCAGAGTTCCCTCCCAGAGGAGCCCAGGTTCCTAGTGCCTGACGGCAGGTCTCAGCTAAAATGCAGACCCCCCCCTCCACCCGCCTCCAGGGGACCTCCTGGCTTATGAGCGGTTTGTGCGTCAGTACCTGATAGGAAGCAGCAGAGGAAATTGGTGACAGAGGCAGCTTTGGTTAGCTAGCTCAGCAAGAGCACCGTGGTTCCCACACGTGGACTCCTTAGGCACACGTGTCTCCCTGTGAGCCAGGCCCATGTGCGGCACGGCCTGGCGGGTTTTCATTGGTCATGCCAGGTGGTAGCTCAGAACAACCTGATCCAGGGGCTCTTGGGAGTTTTTCAAGTACTAAGTATCAAGGCTGTGCTTGGGACAGGCAAAAGGCCTCAGCAGTCTCCAGCTGTATCTAAGTCATGGGGAAGGTCGGGGTTTCTCCAGCTTGGATAGCTCTGCATTTGACTAAAAATTTTTAAGTTAAAAATTAAATTTTATATAATACTCATAATTTATATTGCTTAAGATTATTCTTGAGATAAACATCATAATGCTACTTAAGAGCAGGTGCTTTATAAAGTAAAACTGTGGTCTCATTTGTATTCAGGTACAGTAAACCAGTCATGAAAGCATAGACTATCCCTTATTCTGGCTATTTAAAAAATAATCAGAGTATTTAAGGATTGGAACCAAATTTACTGGTTTTTGAACAGAATAGGAAAAAAACACTTTAAATGATTGAGTTGGTCAACTAATTTATCTTCTTAAAGACAGAAATGTGCAAACCCAATCATTGGAAATTGAGAAAATGCACTGATTTGCTCAAGTAGGATACATTTAAAATCAGGCGCCCTCTGGTGAAGCATTATGGCAGTTACAGCACATACCAAACCTATCATCTTGCGAGTGAGAATATAACATTGGAAGATCCTGAAGAATTCCTCAGCCATCTTTTCATCGAATGTTGGGTGCTGATCGGTCATTTGTCACTGTTGGTCGGAGTTTCACAGTAGCAAAGGGGTTTTCTCCACTGTTGGGGAAGAAAAAAACGTGTGCAGAAAATACTAGAAGATGGGAATTTGATTTTAAAGGAGCTAAATAAAAACTTGGTTCTCGCTCCGTAAAATTATATACCTTATGTAAACTCCAGACAGCCTCTCCTGATTATGGAAAGCTTCACAGGGGCATTCTCTCCATGCCACCTCGTGCAGAACTACCAATGTTTTACGCTTTGGGTGCAGGCGAGCCCAGGTCTCTGCAGTCCTCTCATGGAGGGGACAGCCATCTAGGACCAGGCCTGGATTAAGCTGCCAAGCACAGTGTGTGACCAGGAGACTGCCCTCCCGGATCTCAGCACATGCCTCCTTGGACTTTGATGAGAACCAAGTGGCCACATTCTCCTGACCCTACAGGCTTGATGCTGTTCTTAGGATCGGGCCTCCTGGTCCTTGCACGGAGGAAGGCCCTCTTGGGGGCCACACAGGGAGGCAGTTAAACTGGGTGCCGCTCACTAACAGGGAGAGTGACTTGCAACTTGGAAGGGCTTGTGGAGAGTTACGTACCTGAGGAAAGGAAGCTTTGCAGTCCCATTTGAATTACTCTGTGAGAAAGAGAAAGATAAAGTTTATGGAAGGCTCATGAAATTGGGACATTTAAAGTAAGACCCGAAGGTAAAGGCATCTGCAATGGGACTATTTAAAGCTACAAATGTTTAAAAGAGCCCTAGAGACATGAGTCATTTAAGACTATCTAGATACCCTGAATAAGAGCAAAACCAGAAAACACTTTAAAAGGTGGTGAGGGACCCTCATGAGTGTTGGAATGTTTCAGATGCAGAGGGAAAATACAGGGCCTTCTGCTCTCTGCCCATGGCCTTTAAGGTGCAAAACTAGTGACTGCAGTTGGCTTTTTGGAGGCCCCACCCTGAGTGAAGCCATGAAAACACAATGGGCAAGAATAAAACTTTGTTGGGTTTGGTGCCCAGAGACTGGTGCTGACTGCACCCCCGAGAACTTGTAGGAAGTAACACGAAGTGAGGAAAAGGGACAAATGGGTAAACATTCATCTTTGCCTTCGGAGGACTAGGGTAAGTCCTACTGTGGCCAGGGACCAGGTGTGTGCCTTCTTGCCTGCCTTCCAAAAAGCCTGTAGGCTTTAAGAATGGGCTTTCAATCTGTTCTGGCTGTTAGAAGCGAGCACTAGCCAGAGCGTGTGGGCTGACGCAGGTGGCCGTCCAGGAGAGGGCAGTGTGCTGCTGTCCGACCAGGGGGCCGCCCGCCGGGCCTGGCTGCTGAAAGGTCCCAGCACTCCCTGTGGTCCAGGTGCACAGACCTCTGAGCACTGAGATGTTCCTCTTACTTCCTGCTGCGGGCTAGTGGTTGAAGGCCACGTGGGGCAGAAGCCAGGACCAGGGCCTCTGCTGGGTTTTGGACATACCAACTCTCAAGGCAGCAGACTAGGGACACTGGGGCTACTTCAGACCTGCGCCTGCTGTCTCTGAGAACCACACATCTTGACCTTGAACCCCAAGCCTGGCAGAGTTATCCTAATGGGCAGCCCCAGCACCAGGAGGCCGAGTCCCAACCCAGTGTCTACTTTTCTCACGGAAGAAAAAGCAGCTGCTGTGCTTAGTGCCCCCAGTGCTTCCTCCTGCAGGGCACGTGGAGCACCCTCAGCAGGCCGGGACAAGCATTCCTGGTGTGACAGTCACATTACAGGACCACTTAGGGTTGAAGACACAGCAGGGTGCCTGCACCACCCTCCGCAGAAAGCCTAGAGCAGAAAGCCTAGAGCGGGACCCGCAGGGCTGGGGAGGCAGAGTCCGGTGTGGGAAGGTCCTTGTGGCCCCGGGTCAGGAGGAAGGGCAGCGGAGTCCTGCCAAACTGGAGTCCCCAGGCTCGGCCTCCACCAACATAGTGCCTTCCTTGGGCTGGGGGGATGGGGGCATGCAGTGTCTCCCTGCCATGTAAATGACATCTGAGGAGGCTTGGCCCTGGCCCAGCAACCATAAACATTCCACCTGGGAGTGTCCCAAATGTCCTCAAGGCCAAACCTTGGGGCTTGTTCCCAGACGACCTCCTGCCCCCATGGAGCTTCAGATCGAATTTAGCTGCCTTGAGTCATTTGGGTGCTTAGCCCAACATGTGAGAGAAACAAACGTAGAGAAGTATCACAGTCCATCCTAGAAAAGAAGGTGACAACTTGTGCTGAGAAGGACGCAAAAGAACCTACAATGACAGCCTGAAACTTCAGTGCCGGGGCTGACGCCATCAGGGACAGGTCACATTCTGGTTCCTGATCTGGTGCTGGTTATACCTGTTGCTTCGTAAAGTCGCTGTGCACTTTGCTGTATATGGCATTCTTCAATGTTTATGGTAAAAAACACATTTTCAAAAAGGTGTCCCCTTTAACACCTCCCACCAAGCCCACTGCCATGGTCACAACCGACTCCCCTGAACACGCACACGCCCCCCCCCACCACGCTGCCGCTCAGCCCCACCCCTCTCACTGGCTGGCCTAGGAGCCCTGTGAGGGGCGTCTGTCCTGCCTGCTGCCTCCAGAGCTCCAGCTGAGCTGGTCCCTTCGCTGCTTCCCTCAGGTTGTGCAGTGGGGTTTGGGGTCTCTGGCGCTACAGGAACCCCAAGATCTCTGCAGGCCTCTCCTGGTGCCCTGTGTCCCTAGACCCGACCTCGATGTGGCTCCTGCCAGGCTCAGAGGCCACCTCCTTGACCTTGTGCCCTCAGTACATGTACAGTGCAGGGCACGCAGCATATGCTCGGATCACATCTGTGAAGCCAAGGCCCCCAAGGTCCCACAGGCAGTGGGCAGAAAAACTGACCCTATGCACGTCACGGGCCTTCTCCAAGTCAGCAGTACACGTGCTGTCGCACACTTTTCCTCAGACTTTACAAAGCAGGGCTCAGGCACTGGCCCCTCTGGCTGGGCTGGCACCTGTGGCCTTGCAGGCACAGCCTGTTGCATGTTCTGAGCATCCAGCACAGTGCTGGTTCAGAGTGCCGTCAGTAAGACAGGAAGTCACAAGGCACGAAACCACGTGTGGACAAAGGCCAGGCACGTCATCAGGACATCAAGGGCACTGAAGGCCTTGGGACTGTGCAGCGAGACAACGCACACCAGTTGACTGGCCGAACAGGAACAGGCAGACTGAAGAACATGTAATTTCCCCACAAAAAACCCAGGCCCAAATCCACTTTGGGTGGGCACGTGCTGACTCATATGGCTTCCACTCCACTCAGGTTAATGCCTGGGTGCCCATAACCACAGGCCCACTTGCCTCAAAGGGGGTCAGTTGGTCCAAGCTCATAGGTGGTCCTGGTCAGCTCAGACCACCCAGCACAGTCCGTTTCCCAGGTGGTCTGCAGACACTCGGAGAGCAAGGGACCTCTGGCCCCAGTCAGGGCGAGGCGGGTCCCCACACCCACACCACAGAAGGCAGAGCTGGTGGCAAGAGGCAGCCCTGAGGGCATGTTGGTGCCTGCCCTCTCTGGACTGCCATCCCCTCCACACAGGGCCTCCCTTCACCTCTGAAGGCAGCCGGAGGTCAGCTCTGTCACCTGCAGCACTAGCAGCCTTGGTGCTTGTTTTAGATGTTACAACGGATGCCAGGCCTCGGCCGCGGGCTGGACTCCTGTCCCAATTCACAGCCTCCGATCTAGTTCCACCCCTCTATTCTTAAAGGTGGGGACACAGAGGCCCTGCTGGGGAAAAGCCAACTGTTTTGAGTCAAGGGGCTGCACGGAGGTCGTGCTTCGGCTCCCGCAGGTCAGCAAAGGCACACTGTGAAATGAAGGTGGGCTGAGTCGCTCAATGGCCTTTTAAACCCTAGTTCTTTGATTATTTAAAACTGCTGCCACCAGCGTAGAGAAGGACATGCTGCATCCCTGTGCCCGCTCCCCTGCCTGACGAAGACTGCACTGCCGATTGGAAGACAGCCACGGGGGCTTTTGAGGTCAGTGGGTTCAGCAACATTCCACCCCACGGTGTCAGGTGCTTAGTGTACTTAAGCCTAAGTGTCCTGGTGTTTAAATAAAACTCTAGGTGTAGCCCACAGTAACTGATAGCTGCTTGTATGTAGAAACTACACATAAAAATGCTTTGCCAGCTCCCATGAGCCCCTGCCTTTGGCTGAGAGTGAGCATACTTTTCCCCAACATCATTAGCTGGTTTAAACCTTTTAGTTTAGGAAAGATAAACTATCAGTGCAGTTGGGTGTAAGAACTTTTGAGATACAAAGTTCCTGGGCTGTGTCCCCACCCTCGAGGGGCACCAGGCAGGGTTCAGTCACGGCATGTACTTCACCACCACGCCCTGAATCAGGTTTTTAAGCAGAACAGTGTTCTATTGTGTGTGATCTATACCCGAATGCCCAACATGGTAGCCACTAGCCATATATGACCAGGTTAAAATGAAATACAAATTTAAAATGAAAATTCAACTCCCTAGTTGTATCCACTTTCCAGGTGCTCTGCTGGCCCTGCGCCCAGTGGCTGCTGTCCTGGGCAGTGCAGTCCTGGAACGTTTATATCTGACCTGTGATTCTCCGGTGTGATTCACAGAAGCAGCAGCACCTGTCTTTCCTGCTCCTTGACACACACAAGATTGGGTCCTTTGCCTCCTGCTGTGGTTGTGAGAGATTATCACAGGTGGGAATTTTCGCCCCTCTTGGTCATTTCTTCGGAGCAGAACTGGCTCTCCTGTCCTCCCTGCAGTGGGCCTGCTAGTCTCCCACGGCTGTGCTCCTGGGACTCGGCTCTGACTTGGCAGTTAGAAAAGCGGCAGCCTGTCTGACCGGCTGCAGTGTCAGCAGAGGAAGCACAGGAGGGTGTAGGTTGGTGACAGGTGGTTTTTTTGTTTTGTTTTTTGTTTTTTTGGCAGTTTGCACAGGATCTTGAAGTACACTTGGAAAGATGTTAGTGAGAGAAACATAAGCCAGGCACATCACTTCATTGTGCATCTGTGACACATACTCAGGTTTGGATCATTGGACGCTTCATTCCAAGATCAGGTGCACTTCGTTTTAGGACCAGGAAAAATGAGTGTCCTGGAGTCAAGGCTAGCCCTGCCTTCAACCTTATAGCCCTTGCTGACTTTTAAAAGTCAGTTAATCTTTTCTTGTGACTTTTATTAATTGGAGTTTTCCAATATCCTCCAGATGAGAGAAGTAATATGGCCACCTGTGAGCACCTCACGAACGGCACCCAGATGTCATGGTGTCTGTCTCACCAACAGTGCTCTCATGGAGAGACACCGATCAGCTGCCGGCTGAGATTTCAGAACTGCATTTCTCAATCTTCTCTGGGACCTCAGAGAGCTGCTGCCACCTTTGGATCCAACCTAAGGGGGCACCTACAACCCAAGGTATCTAAAAAGAGAGGCCAAAGACATATTTGAATGGGATTTCAAAGCCTTGCATTTCTTGGACCAAGTGCCGCTGCAGCAGTCTGTGAAGAGGCAGGCATGTTCCAGGATACTTTACAGCTCACATGAGAGCACAGGGCACATTTTTAGGAGGGTTCCCATTTCAGAGAGTCCACCTATGGACCATTCACAGCTGAACAAAAATCACCAGTAGTGCTGTCGATGGGAACAGAGCTGGGGAGCCCCCTGCCCTAAAAAGCAGGGAGAAGGCTCCTGCATGCCCTGCAGAAAGGACCACACTGACTGAAAGAATTAAAAAGCAGCTACTGCACCAACTGTGTGGACAACCACCAGCGCCTTGCGGATACTTCCGAGCCACATGCCGCCTTGGGCATGAAGCTCAGCCCACTGACCATGTGGCCAGGACCCTCTCCATTCTGCACTGAGAGCCGCTGCATGTTGCTGGAGAAACTGCCACGTTGACTGGGTTTGTGTTATATCTTGACCTCAAATTGTAAATGAGCGCCCTGCATTAGCCCTCTTTCCTACTGCTCTTTGAAGCACACTCATATTCTTACTCTTTAAAACACCCACTTTACAGCTTTTCCCTTTCATACTTGCTCACCGCCTCTCTGCCCACCCCTACCCACCGTTGATTGTACCTCGCCACTGATCAAGTGGGCACGTCAAACAGGCGCTCCCCAGCCTGCCCACCCCGCTGCACCTTCTCAGCTACCTCCCCCTTCTCTACTGTATAATCTGTATTGAAAAACAAGGAGAACAAGAACCCCTGCAACTCTCCAGCACCCAGGAATCATCGCTTCCCTTCTCTGCTCCTCAAGGGTGCCAAGCATTGCCCTTAGGGGCTTTCAACTTTCTACTCCATCGATCCAGGAAGCGCCTCTTGACCCCCGCATAGTGGGCTACTTGCCACTCAGGGGTAAGCTGCTATGTCACCCTCTTAGAAGTCCTCTGCTCTAGATAGCCACGTGCCGCCTCGGACCCCCTTTCAGGACCAAGGGGCAGATTCAGGGCTGCAGGGATGCTGCTGGCACCTGGTCCTCTGCTCACTACCTCCAAAGCCCACCCCAGGGCCTGGCACTTAGTGGACGTTGTTGTCAAAGGAATGACAGGTATCTACTGACTTTTCTGACAGGGTTGCTCAAGATTAAAGATAACATACACAGCGTTTGTATAGCACATGGTACCACGTAAACACTTCCAGAAGATGCAGAGGTTAGGTCACCACTTTTTACCTTAAATGTTCCTTCAGAACACAGCATAAAAATGGAAGAAAATGCAAAAGAAGGCCATCAAGTGATTAAATGATGGCAAGCCATGACCAAGAGCAAGGAGAGATTAAAGCCTGGTACAATCTGGGAAACTAGAGACTTACTGTGTGTAAATCATCATTTACAGGGGAAACGAAAAGACAGAAGGCAGAAAGTGGAAGGGTGTGCGACGGAGAAGGGAATCTAGAGGAGCCAGGAGGAGGCCCCCCAGCACTCGGGGGAACAACCCCACACCTCTGGAGACCACCCCTTGAGACTTGGGTCCACCGAACGTCACACAGACAGCAGCTCTACTCACAGAAGACGGAGTTTCTGGTCTGGACTCTGGGGCTTTAAAGGTGGAAGGCGGTCTGGCGCCGTCGGCCCTCTTCTCTGCGGCCGCTCTCATGGACAAGCACTCCAGGTAATCCGGGGGTGGGATGGGGACGGCAGCACTGCCCTTCTCAGACAAGTCCACCGTGCTCATGCTTCTCACTGGCGCTGGGCTGCCGGCCCCGAATCAGAGAACACACGTTAGATGAGATCCTGCCACTGGAATTCCAAACACCCAAAATAGCCCATGAGCAGAACTGTAATAGAGGAATCATAAAGGGTGCGGGAGGAGGAGATCACACACACACACACACACACACACACACACACACTTTCTCTCTCTCTCTCTCTCTCTCTCTCTGACTCACTGACTCACTCACTCTATAATCATCATCATCATCTGCATCTGAGTATGGACTTAAGGGTTATTAGGATAGGGTGCCAAAGAAGCCCGTTGGTGTAATTCAGACCATAGGGGTAGACAAGATGGCCCCGGAAGTAGAGAAAAGGGAAAAGGACTCAGGACAGACCCAGAGGAACACTTCCGTTTAAACAGTGGGCTGCAGTGTGGCCTGTGAGGGGACTGAGAGGGATGGCTGGTGAGGTGGGAGGAAAATAAATAGAGGGCAACCTGGGCAGGAAAGCATGTCAGAAAACATGTTCCCCAGTGTCACAGGCCGCTCAGAAGGATCATGAGGGAAAGGTGGGCCTTGGATGCGGCCACCACGGGCGGTGGGAACATCGGGAGTGGGGCCAGAGAGCTGAGAGGGGAGGGTCTGGGGTATGAATCTTCACCGCAGTCAGTAAAGCCTGTGAAAGCCCCAAATCACTAGGCAATGAGTGTGGAGTAGCAGTCTCCGGCTTAGTCCTCACAGCCTGGGGCTTCCCACACGTCCAGATAGAATGCTGATATTCCTGAACACAGTAGGTTGAGTTTTCTGTCACTGGGAACCATGAGCCACAGTCAAGTCCTACCTTGGTGAGGGTACACTCACTGTCTCCTTTCCATTTTCTTCCAGCAACTTTGTGTATGACGACGGGAACCAGCCCCTCCTACATGTGAGAGTTGAGGAAAAAAGACTCGGCTGTGGTAGCAGCAGCAGAAGAGTGAACAATAAACATACCGAGGACAACCTGGGGCAGATGGCCCACTCTCTCTCCATGGCACACTGTGTATTTTACATACAGCGTTATTTTTATTTGGATTCTCTTTTTACCTGCCCCCACATACTGGTTTTATTTAGTAGGTAAATAATCTACACAGAAAACCAATTTAGCATACTTGTACTAAAGCTTGTGCATGAACTCATGGTTGAATTGATGATGCTGGCATTTAAACTATTGATATGTACTCAAAGTACATCTGATATGCAGATTATCCTTGAGAAATCCAAAGTCATTAAAAAAAAAACAAACCCCAAAAAACAAGAGAATACTAAAACCTTTCAGAGATGACTTTACATGATCTAAGTGATCTTTTCATGCATCAAATTTATCTATACCTGCACATACATGCGGAAATAGTCTGGGACAGAATTACATCCAGTCAACTAGAAGTAGAACTAGAACTGAACCTTGACCTTTACGTTGGCTAAACTGCTAGTATGTCGACAAGGACAAATTGCTGCTAAAAGGAGAGACTGCAGCTCTCTGAAGAGCCAGTCGGCTCGGACTCTTCAGCAGACTCCTCCCCCCGGGCTTACGCTTTGGAGGTGTCATGCTCTCCGTAAAGCCAGCCATCTTTCTCCTCAGAGATGAGCAGTGTGATGATGTCTCCCTGTGCGAAGCTAAGTAGGGTCTGGTTGGTGCCAGCGGTGTGTGGGAAGATGGTTTTGACTTTCTGCTTTTTCATCATGTTCAGTCCAGTTGCAACAGAAACTGACCGCTGTAAGCTGGGATCATCTGAAGAAGCTGTTGAAAACAAACACCGTGACAGCTTTTCAAAGAATGGTAATCAGGTCATTTCCAACACACCAACCCCAGTTGTGGTCTAGTGCCACATCCTTACCTTTGCCGAGATGGACAGGGACAGGGACTACTAGGAGCGCAGGCAGAGCCCTGGCCCAAGGTCTCTCCTGGAGGATCCCTTCGGCAGCGCGAGAGGATAAGGCAGCATCTGCCAAGCTTCGCCTCCCCTCAGCCTTAATTAGGAAGGCTCTCGTAGGGAGGCAAACTGCTCCTTCACCAATGTGCTCATGGTTTTCCGTCCCCTGCTCCCAGTACAAATCAGAGGCTGTGGGAGGCCTCAGCTCAAACCCAACTGCCCATGTCCTGGGCCACAAAGAAAAGGAGAAAACTGGAAATGCTGCTGTGAGGACCAGTGCCTTTGCGGAGCCCTCCATAATTACCAGTCCGCGCTCAAGCACAGCCAGGTGCCCTCTGGGGGCAGCCTGGCTCCACAGCCCGTCCTGCATGACGTGAGGCAGCAGTACGCTGTGCGTTTTGTGTCTCTATTCAAATACAGCCTGATATTCACCACTCCAAACAAAAAAAATACTGGAATGGAGAATTTTTTCTTTTTAGATTTTTCCAGTCAAATACTGCTAGCCCAGTATTAAAAACAATGTAAGATCTCTTTCTGCTTTATTCTTGCACAGTTTTACTAATTACAATATAAACTTTGCTAGCTTACCATGTCACTCTCTAATTACCTTGGTGGTGCTGAATCTACCAGCAATCTTATTTTGCTTTTACCAAAAAGAATCAGTAGTTTGAATGACTGGGATGCACATGACATTATCTATTTTAACTTTATATTGTATACAACTTTTAGTCCTGCTTTCAAAGGCAGATGCCTGTAGACTGTTATCTTCCCAGTTGCCATTCAGAAAAATCTCATCTCTTCTCCAAAAGCCACAAATGACAATCGGGGGCCTCTCTAGCCCTGGGCTCAATTGCCATGACTCATAAACCCGGAGGCTGGGAGACACCCAGACATAGGCAGGGGCTAGCGGCCACGAGACTCCAAGGTCTGCAGTGCCGAAGCCTGCTGCAGGCAGAGCTGAGTCTAACCAAAGCCCCCTGAGATGTCTGCAAACAATAACTGGTCCCATCTTACTGAAATACAATCAACAGAGTTCAGAAATTTAAGCAGTTAGAACTTAGTCTCCAGAAAGTATGATGTGCTGTTAGAGATGATAAAAATCACTGATTATAACTCAAACAGCCTGAGGGTAAGATTAATAGCCATAACTTTGTCATGTGAACTGTTACAATTTGTTGTATTAAAAAAAGAAATTTATTACAATTGCCACCAAATGAGAGACACCGTGGGAGTCTCTAAACATTGTATCTTATTTACTTAATTTTAAAACTTTTAATAAATACTTTTATTGTATTCCTCCCATTACCATTTAGTCCCCTAGATCCCTCCTCCTGTAGTCACCAAACTGCATTACATTCTTTTTTTAAAATAGCACCTTTTGATAGTATATTTATTCTTATAAATATCAATTAGTATACAGAAATATTATGTGTCAAAATGTCTTCTGGTTTTATTTTAAACTCAGGCCTTTATTTGTTCTGAGGTATAAGTTCTTCCAATGTTGGATGTGTGCTACACACATACTTATTTATCTCCATGTCACGATACACTTATCCAAACTATATTTTAAAAATTTAGAAAGGTAATTTAAAAGAAATATCTTACCTGAATTCTGTGCAACTGTTGCTGGGTTATTAAACATATCAATCAAAGGACTGGTATTTGCTCTGGCTGAAGGAGCTGGGGGCACCTTTGGTGAATATTTAGAAAGCGTGTCATAATCTTTCCCAACCTGTGAAAAGTTTTTATTAGTTTAATATTATTAGTAATAATACAGCAATGGCATTATAGGTTCCCAGGGCTGTTTTATATCACATGCTTTAAATTCCAATTTTTCCCAAAGTTCTCTTAGTTGTAGGGCAATACCCCATTTTGAATTATTTCAATACCATATTTTTTCATTTTTGTCTTTAAAAAAGCAGTTATCTTTAAATATAAAAAACAAACAAAAAACCCCAAAACCAAACAAAGCCATCCCTCCCATATCCTCTCACCCCTGGGAACCACTAATCTGCTTTCTTCTTCTGGGGGTTTTAGGCTCCCTCCTAAGTGCCCCTTGGCTAGCGGATTCTACATTTGAAATAATGTTTCCACAGAATTTTGAGTGCATTCCTCCATTAAGATCTAACATCTTGTTTTGCCAACAAGAAATCTCCTTTGCGTAGTTTCCATTTTCTTTGCAAGCAATCTATTTTTTTCCCCTCCCAAGAAGTTGTCAGAATTTTCTCCTTATCCCTGACTTCCTGTTATCTATTGAGGTTTTGGTCTTTTCAGCGTGTCGGGGATCACTCTGGCTGCCATGTTAAGGGGCCCGGCGGAATGGCTACTGTGGCCATTTCTGCAGGGGTCACAGTCAGAACCGTGTCGGGGCGAGAAGCTGGACACATCGGACGTGCTTGGAAGATGGAAACAATAGGGTTGGCCCGTGGACTGATAGTGGCATAAGAAAAGGAGAAAGGAGTCATTATTTTGTGTCTGAGCTACCGAAGGATGAAGCTGTCATTTACTGGAGGGGGAAGAGTGTGGAGAAGCGGGTTTGGAATAAGAAAATGAGTTGTTTGGGTTTGGGCAAGTTGAACGTGAAATCCCCACTGGACAGCCGGTGGTGATGCTGGTATGCAGCTGAATATATCTCCATGTCTCAGCTGGTCTAACATTATGTTTATCCTCTTTCTGATTTTTCAAAAAGTCCCCTTTCTGTTTTTGCACTATGTTTGGAAGAGTTTTTTCTGTCTTAATTTTCCAGGCAGTTCCATTCTCCTAATGAGCCCATATATGTTACTGTGTGTTTTGTTTGTTTTTGAGGGTGGAGGGAGAAATGAAAAACAAAAAGCTTTTATTTTAGAAAATTTTAAAACAGGTGCAAAAGTAGAATAGTACAGCAAATCTCCATGCGCCCAACACCTAGCTTCAACAGTTTCCATTTCCTGGCCAGTCTTTCATGTCTGCCCCATTCACGTCTAAAGCAAATCCTAGACATCATTCTAACTATAAATAATACAGTTTTCAATCTCCAAGACCTAGTTGAGTCTTCTCTGTGGATGTGATATTCTTTCATCTCTTTCAAAAGATTTCTCTTCTTCCTAACTCACTCTGTTGTCTCCAATGCTGGCCATTTTGTTTTTTTAGTTTGTGTGTCTTATGACACTGGTTTCCTCATCTGCTCAGTGATTCTTGGTTGTCTGCACTTTCGCATGTGCAGCAGCCACTCTTCTTTTACTGTATGTGAGAGTCTGTATTTTGCCTGTTCTTGTGATCCCAGAGTGCCCACGGTGATGTGGGAAGAGGGAAGGCACTTCAAGGGCTGTGCCCCGTGTCTTCTGTCTTGGCCAGTGGACAGAAGCCCCTGCTGCCTGTGGTCCAGCAGAAATTGGACCAGGGGAAGGGATGGACCAACCTGGGTGGTCTGAATCAGTTCCGCAACCAACACATGGAGAAACGCCCCAGGTTCTCCCCCACCGCTGTGTCCACTGCGCCCGGGCTGCCAGCCCCCGGGAGAAATCTTTCCCTGGCACCTCCTTGGGGCTGAGGGTTCCTCCTGTTCTGATCTCCATGCGTCAACCTTGTGGAGACTCCTCCTGCATGGCAGGCCCACTGGCAGCACCTTTTCTATGCCCTGTGCAGCTCTGGGTCTGTTCTGCAGGCTGCCAGCTGGTTTCCAGGGTCTGTGCTGTCACTTCAGAATTGTAGGTGGAGAGGTGGGGTGGACTCATGTTCTAACTGTATGCTATGTGTTGGTGGAAAGTAATAAGGCCCAGGTTCAAGAACAGCAAACTGCAATGCTCAAATTCATTGCTCCGGTGACTTTTTTGGAAGCGCCTTATATTGTGATGAACAGTATCAGAGTTCTGCTAATCTATTCTCTAAGGCACCCATGTGCCCTTCACTGAAGATAAACTTACGAAGGTGGAATTGTTGCAATTCAAAACAGTAACAATAAAATCTCTACAACAAAGAGAACAGTGCTAAACATACTATAAAACAGCTGCACAGCTAATGCTGAAGAAAGCTAAGTGAGGAAAGTTGCCCTTAAAGGAGGACCCATGATTTCCACTAACACAAAGGCCTTGGTCCTTTATGCAAATCATAATAGTAAACACACAACTGAAATCACAGAGATAACCAGTTCCTACCATGTTGCTTCTCTCGATCATTGGCGAAGGCTGAGGCGTCCAGGACATTGGGGTGGAGAGAGGGGTCTTTATTTCTTCTATCATATTGATGATTTCCTCTGGTACTTTGGTGGCATCACAACAGGTTTTCTGCCACCGAGGCAATTTGGAATTAAGTAATTCTGCGGACTGAAAATCCAAAGGAAACAAAACTGAGGACAAATATGTGTTGTTTGAAGCACTGACAAAAATGACATCAAATAATATCACTGATAACATATTACTGGCTTATCAGAAGTATGGGAGCTTTGAGTTAAATTCAGTGAGTAGTTTGAGCATCCATGAGTATCTGCTGTCTTATTTGCTGAGGACGTGTGCTTCTGTTCTAAAAGAACTGATCCTCTCCCTCTGTGTGAATACAGAGTTTATAACCAAATAGCCCTGGCTGGTGTGGCTCAGTGGATTGAGTGCTGGCCTGCAAAACAAGGGGTCACCAGTTCAATTCCCAGTCAGAGCATATGCCTGGGTTGCGGGCCAGATCCCCAATTGGGGGCTTGTGAGAGGCAACTGCACACTGATGTTTCTCTCCCTCTCTTTCTCTCTAAAAATTAAAAAAAAAAAAAGACTAAATACAAGGATTGTAAATGATTAAGAACAAGTTCAAAAGCTAAAAGGGAAGGGTTGAGCAATCTGTCTTAATCACTACTGTTTCCCCTACAGCCCAAGACAGGCCAAGCATCGCTGTCTCCCTCCCACTTCTACAAAAGGCCCCTCCAAGACAGGCCACAGGGCCAGGAGTGGATTCAGAGCCGAGCGGGACTGCATCTACATGTTAGAGAAGCGAATCAGATCGGTCCACAGGACTGCAGGGCTAGAAGCGAAGTGTGGTGGGCTTTTCAGAGTGAGAGACAGAGCTGGTAAATGCTGTGGTCCTCTGGGGCTGGCAGACTGTGGGCTTTGCAGAGAAGCTGGACTGTAGAGCAGAGTGATGCAGAGGGACGACGGTAAGTCCCATAGCTAGAGAGGCAGAGGCCTCTGTCCCAGGCTCCCACAAGCCTGGCTCTGCGTCTTACAACTGGAGGTTCCCTGAAAGCCTTTCAGCGAACTTTCTCTTCCAGGGCAGCAATCTGACTGGAAAAGGGAAGTAGGGGACCTTTCTTGAAGCTATTTTCATAGCAACCATACTGTTTTTACTTAGACTCTATGTGCATCAGGGATGGGCTGAAGGTGTTGATGGAAATCCTGAGAGGGCAAAGCCCCTCCCCCAAACCACCTCTGTCTTGACCATGACCCTGACACAGCCATCGCTTGGCCTGCTTCCTCCAGGAGACACTGAGAGGACTCGGCGCTTCAGCTGGGGTAAGAGAAGGCACAAAGGGGTTTTCAGGGAGTTGGGAGAGACTGGTGCATAGAAAGCAGCAGACTTGGTTTGTGTCACTCTAAAGAGCCTAACTAGGACCCAAGGTTAAGTGCGAGAAAAGACTGCCAACAACTGGAGCTCTCAGGATATCGTCCAGGTTTCCTTGTGATACTGTGAGCACCTCATCCCTGGCATGGGGTCGCCAAAGGAAGGGAGCTTCAGGGTTGCTTTGGTCTCTCTCTGGCCTGTGACCCTGCCCCGTAGGGCTGTCACTGTGGAAACTGACGCTGCTGAGACTAGTACAGTGCACTGCGGACAAAAGTGATCACCTAAGACAGCAGTTTTTTCCTGTAACAAGTTTAGAGTTTAGGTCTTCAGATTTGAATATTCCTTAAGTTGCAAAATCTTTGTAGATATGTAATATGTGACATACGCATACATGCAAGACCTAATTATTTTTCACCTAAAAAAAAGGGGGGGGGGCAGCTGCCTTGTATTTAGGCTCTTACATAGTGTTTCATATCATGGAGCACTCTCCAAATTACTTTATTATGAATAACAATGAATAACTGACATCAATCAATGCCACTTTTGGGTGCTTACACAGGCCCAAGAGAATTCAAAATTTAAAAACAAAAAGAGGAAAGGAAATTTAACGCATTTTGCACGGACTTCTGGGGGGTGTAAGTGCACGACTGTGTGTAGCGAGGGAGGGCAGCAAAGCCAAGGAATTCCGCTGATGAGATTGTGACCACTATCTTGAAGGGGAATGAAAAGTAGTTCCAACCAGCTGTCCTGACGCTGTGAATGGGGCCTGTGGCCTGGGCACAATCTCCACGTGCATCGCCTCTCAAGGCAAGCATCTCAGACCGTCCGGGCGGAGGGGCCCTGGGGCCTGCGGGGACTTCTGTGGCTCTGACTGCGACACCCGTGCCAAAGATGCATCTTTGAGAATCTGAGAAGAGCTGACCCACAGGGGAGAAAAGGAAAATACTAAACTAATTAAGTATTATAAACTGACATTTGGCTACTTATCTGTATTTCTAAAAGTCTGAAATCTTCTTATTGGCAAAATAGGCCAGTTGTTTTATGTTAGGGCATGTATGGAAGGGGAAGCATTTCGAGGGCGTTTAAACAGGACATAAAATTAATACATGCAACAATTTGAAATCACACCCACCTGTAAGTGGTAGTAATGCATATGATTGGAAAAGCTACAGTGTTTGTCAACCAGAAAGCAGAAGCGTCTCTTCTCTTCCAGCAGAGCTTCTTTGCAACCATCGGCAATAAATTTCTGGATTTCATTCTGGCGGGAAGTAATGGTTTCTACATACTAGGAAAATAATAATTATACAATTATGAGATGAGGAGTCAAACAGCGACACAGCCTGACATTTATCTTCTGCCATCTTACACTTGGTTTATTTTCATAATGGAGTAACTACTAAATGAAGATAAACATTAGACAAAATAACAAACTTGGAACCTGACCTGGCAGATACCATCGTTCTCATTAAGATCCCTGCCCTGACTCATGAGTGGAGAGAAGCTGCCCAAGGCCTTACATTCCACTGAGCAATTTACAAAGTGTTACTTTGTACTCCAGGGATAAGATGGTGTTTTATTGAAAAATCATGGGCTTTGGAACCAGAAAATGCAGTGTGAACCCCAGTTCCAAGTGTCAACCATATGACTTCACCCAAGCCCAGTTTCCCCAAGTGTAAAATGGGGATAACAGTGCTTACCCTCCCTGAGCGAGGAGAAAATGACAATGTTTTTAGGAGTCCACTGACTGATTACTTTTAACTCTGGAAAACTCTGTAGCAGCTCATACTAAGTCAAAATGCTCATTTTTAACTTCTGTAGCAGCTCAGCACTAAGCAGATAAAGTACAGGCTGACTGAGCTAAACAAACTTTCCTGTAAACTGTACAAACCACCAACAAAACAAAGCTGTGCTAAAGAGTTCACCTCAATTTCTTTGTGTTCGTATTTGAGTGCATTTCGTCCTCCTTGACTTTTCCTTCTGATCTTCTTCAGTTCAGCTTGAGATTTCTCCAAAGAATCTAACTTATTCCTGTGTTCTGTTTGGTATCTTTTGAGAGTAGCCTGCAAATTAAATGTTGCACTTACTTCACCACAGCACCACAGAAACCGTCAGGAGCCTCTTCTGCTAATACTTCCACTGGGTGTGGCCGGCTGCCCCCGACTCATGCTGCTCTCCCCTGGCCCTGCTCCCGCACACCCTTACTTCACGCTGTCCCCTCCCTTCGGCTCTAACTAGTTCGCTGTTTTGTCTGTCCTGAAGTTGTTTATATGAGGGGCCTTGACCAGAAGAGCAGCTCTCAGAGGATAACAATGTCTTTTCTTTTTCTTGTTTCTCTTTCCTCAAAGGTGTTTGGACACTGGGTTGTCAGCAAGTGCTCTGGTGAATAAATCAACAACATTAAATCCCATGTTCCTGTTTTATGACTTAAAACGTCAAGAAAGAGAATTAAGAAAGAAGTACAATCACTTCTGGTTATGTGGGTGCTGTGTAAGTTTTTGGAGCCTAGCAGACCCGGGTTAGAATTCTGGCTTCTTCCCGCATTTCCTGTGTAATCCAGCAATCACTGAGCCCCTCTAAGAATGCCCGTGGCGCTCTCATCTGCACAGCGAGGAGAGGAAGAGCACCCGCGTTACGGAGTTTCTGCAGGGATAAAAATCTGACGGTGGATGTCACGTCCCCCTGAGCAGTCCCACCCAGGTGGTCCTGCAGCCTTCCTCCGAGGCACACAGAGCACGTGCACGCAGGGGCATGGCTTACTGCCACACGGGGGTCTTTGTGAGAAGAAAGGGGATTTTGGGTGGCAGGCAGGGGAGATGGGAAGAGCCCTGTGTGCTGGGGCAAGAGGGCCAGGCGGGAGGAGGAAACTGCTGGAACTGACAATGCCAGGTGACAGCAAGGGGTCCGCACAGGAGTGGCCTCTGACCCTCAGACCTGGGAGCCCCAGATGGTGTTCTCTGCACACCTGCCACCCTAGTGCTGGCTTATGAGAGCAGCAGCTGCACTAGTACTAACACAACTGTCACCAACAAGTGTGTTCTCTGAGAACAACGCCTTCCAGAAGCAGTAATATTCCTCGCAGTATTTTTTCTATGCACATCAATGAAGATCCCAAGTGCTAGTAACAACGAGGCCACTCAGCCCCAAGGACCTTGTCAGTCTTACGCATCCACATACACACTCAGCGCCAAGCTCCATCCATATTTACTGCTGCTGAATACACTGTAGGGAGTTCTCTTCGGGCTCAGAGATCAGGCCAGTGCAGCCTCCGGGAGAGCCAGGCCCTGGGCCCTGGGCCCTGGGCCCCGCGCCTGCCTCCACCCACGGAGGAGGAGCCACACTATGTACTCACGTTCATGTATTTCACATCTAGTTCTGTCTTCTTTTCTAGCTCATGTATAATCTCTTTATGGAATGTTTTGAACTGTTAACAAAAGAAAATAAAAAATTCATACCAGATTTGAGACTTTAAGCAAAATAAAATTTAAAGATAAATACATTTTATAAATATAAAAGGAGTTCACATACATTTTCTTTAAAACTCTCATCAAGTTTTTGGTGGGTACTTGAGATCTCCATGAGAACATGGCCTGAGAAGAAAATCAGTTATGTTAGGGGAAAAGCCATTGTGTGGTTTTTGTAAATAGATGCAGGAAAGTAAAACAGTGAGGCGCAGTGCACTGCCGCCCGCAGAGCCTGTGAGCAGCAGCCTCTGATGCTCAGGACACATGAACTGCGACCCCAAGATGGGGGCAGACGCCAGGGGAACATAGCTGACAGCAAACTCCCCTACAAGGTTGTTCGCTGAAAGAACACCAGCTTTGCCTTAAGATTCATTTTGTTCTTTCTGTATTTACTCATATATTTATCTGGTTTAATTTTTAAATTCTCTTACAAAAGATTCTTGGTTATTATAGTAACTAACTATAGGAACAAATGACTTATTTTTTAAAAAATCGAATCCCCAGAGTAATCTATCTGTCAGGCATAAAGGATAAAAGTTATTTTCTTTTTCTCATATTAGTTTTTGTATCATTCTGGAAAACATTAATCTTATGGAAAACCACAGAAGGGACAGTGCTCTGCTCCCATCTCCTGGGACTCCACCAATTCTCAGAAACATCTCACATGCCAGAAGAGGATGTTCCAGCACAAAAGAGCCTTACTCCAAAACGCAGCAAGATGACCGCTTGATTTGCAAAGCACATCTCTTGCCATTCATAGTGGTATGCACACCTCTGCTACTAAACTCTGATAAAAGGGAGCAAGAGCCTCTCTCTGCCAACTTATCTATAGGAACCAAATAGGTCTGATATCTAAGAACTGGAAGAACCAAAGAATCATATGGGACAAGACCAGACCGTACCAAACAATAAAATGTGTTGGACGGATCATCCCACAGTTCAGTGGAAGATAGAAAAGAGTTCTTTGGGTGAAACGAAAGGCTGTAGATGAGGGAGAATTAAAATTTTGACTGTAGTAGAGTATGGGGAAAGAGAAAAAGTACCGGCTGGACCATGACTCCAGCTATCACCTCCATACAGTGACTCCACCGTGCCTGTTCTCAAAACAGTTTAAGATGTCTGACTTTCAAATGACTAGCTCAGTCTTTCCCTCATCTTCAGGCTCAGAAATTCAACCCCTTTCTAAACATGTCCACCTGGATGTGTTATTAGGCACCTCATATTCAGTATGTCTAAAAGCAAACTCACCGCCGTTCTCCAATGCCTGCTCTCAGCCGCCAGCCTGCCAGCCAGGCACCCAACAGTCTCATTTCCTTGTACGGGTGGTGTCACCACTTTGGCCACTTCTAGGGTGGATCCACGCTCCCTACTCATCCTGCTCCCTTGGGTAACAAATGTGCCAGCACCTCTCTGCCCAGGAGAGAAGCCATACGGGAATCGTATGTGAAGTCTATGTTCATCCAACAGCCTGTCCGACCAGAGGAGGAAGAGACGCCCAGTCCGGCCCCCTCCAACACACTGAAACCTGCTGGCTGGACCCTGAGGAGTTCGCCTCCCCATTGATGCTCTTATCCTTTCTCTCAACACCCGGATGTTCTCTTCTGGCTCTTCTTCCTCACAAACGTCAGGGATCTTTCGGAATGCAAATGTAGCGTGTCCCCCCCAGACCCCTCCCTGTGGTGTCCCAGGTAAACTGGCTCCTCAGTGTGAAGCCCACCGTGAACAGCAGTGCTGCTCAAAGTAACATGGCATAACCATGGCGGGTGGCGGCGGCGGAAACCTCCTGTCAAGACACGACCGTATAAGGTTACAGGTACATAACCTGTAAGTCCCTAAGCATCATGCTTTTCTAGAAACCTCTGACAGGATAGCCTGCCGGATAAATATGAGTGAGGCTGAGGGCAGACTCACCCCCAGCACTCATGGGTCTGCCGTGTCAAGTTACCAAAATGCCCACTCCACATCCTTAATGGCACTGACTCCATTCCCCATCATTGAGCTCTCCTAAGGCTCAACGTGAAAGACGGTCACTCACAAAGGAAGCCCTCACATGACCAAGAATAGAATTATAATGTCATTTTATATTATTTAGTCATTTCAGATATTGAAATAATCTAAGGTACTTTCACATCTCTTTTAAACCCATAAATAACTCTTGGTTGGAGATGAGAAACAACAAAAGCCCACTTCAATTATTTGAGAATCAAGCACTATTTTTGGCAAATTAGATCTACTTAAAAAAGTCTAAAAATAGCTTTGCTTAAAATTGGTCAGAGTGACTCAAGCTAGAATCAAGGCATTCACGTTTTTTTCACACCGTCGCAAACTTTATTCCTACAGCCTTATATAATGTGGGTCTCTGAGAAGCAAAAGCATGTTGCTGAAAGCGCGCGCTAGTGCGGGCACTGCTGACCTTGGCGCTCTGGCCCTGGCCGCTCCCCCACACAGCCCCTCACCACCCTCCCGGCAGCTCCTCCCAGCAGGCAGCTGGGTGGGGGGGTGGGGGGAAAGGCTCAAAAGGCTCAGTGAAAAGCCCATTCACTGTGTGGGCAGGAGTGGAACACCTGACCCTATCCTTGTTATTCCTGTCCCTCATGGCTCATGGAATTTAAATGCCAACCTCATAGCAGCAGCTACTGAGTCCTTGGTAATAAAAAGGATTAAAAAATGTCTTTACTGTGATTATGCAAGCTGCCAAAAGTATATCTTGAAACAGAAAATGAAAACGGCCTTTATGTGTAATCCACAGAAGTTTATTCTTAAATATTATGTGGTACTTTATGTCTGAAATGTGGTATCACACACGTTTGTTTACTCTTAGCCCTGTAACTGAAATAAATTACATTTAAGAAAAACTTTTTTTTTTTTAATAAAAGAGGGTGGAGTGGAGAAAGTAGAGCCCAGATTCTAATGGAACAGAACTAAATATACATCCAAACAGGAATTAACATGTTGATCCCAGAAATCACAGCACCGTGTGGGCTGAGCCAACCATTTCTTTTGTTCCCTTTTAGGTTTTGAGTCAAGATTTTGAGAATAAAGTCATAGTAAGGGCAGTGATGTGACTCAGTTTGAATAAATCATGTTCTTAAATGGCAATTAAAGGAATTTAAAGATATACCTATTTTAAAATCATGACCTTGACATAATTAAAAGGCAAAGTCTACCATCAATTTTTCCCTAAAATTCATATAAATAATAGCTAACTTGAGGGACTATGAACAAATATGTCCTACATTTTGGAGAGTACTGTATAAAGGCATATATTTAGACAATAAACAGCATGGACTTGAAGTTAAAGAGAAATTAAGAGTATTGGTAAAAACACAGTTTTCATCTGATTTACAGATTAGTCATTGGACTATTAATATATCTTCAAGTAGCTCCTTCTTCATCAATTCACAGTATACATTTAGAGACACCAAATGGAGACTGCCAGTGGACCTGGTGTCACAGAACACGTGCTGAACATTTAGGCATAAATATCTATTTTCATGTATTTTTGATCCTGGATAATCAGAACACATTTATTATTCCATGGCAGCAAAGAGCAATGGCGGAGTCACACGCCGCTTCTTCCGTGTCACTTCAAGTACAACCTGATGATGAAATGACAGGGTGGGAGCCAACGTGGCCTAAAGTTACACTCTGTGGAATAGAGCATAACTGACCAAAACTGTCACTGGAAAAAGGAGATACTTTTCCTGACAATTTTCCAAATACCAAATGTGATGAGGAGAAAATATAATCAAAGTAAACACAAACTGCACACAATTGGATATGTTAAATACACAAGCATGGATCAGAGTCACCTATCTGGAATTAGTACAGGGGCAGGTCATGTCATGAACATGTGACCAAACTTGAAAGGCTTTGCCAGCATCTAAGAATAGCTCTTGGTGGCTATTTAAACTCAGTCCCTGGATGCAACCAGAGGTGCTCTCCTCCGGTTCACGCTGACATTGTACCAGTGAACAATGCACACGCAGGTAGAGTGCCAAGAAAGTAATAGGTGAGCATCATGGCACGTTTCCCCAGAGGTCCAACTTCTGACCTAACCAACTACAGTGCTGCAGTTCTAATTAATGTCTTGCACAGAGACTATAATTATTCTGTCATTGATCATGACATATCCCATCTTACGAGGACAAGTGGGATGAACAGGAGTCAGTCACACAATAAAACTATGTAGTGTTCTAAAGTTCTTTCAATGTCTGAAATAAAAGTAGCGCCACCAACATCTGCCTTTGCTGTTTGATGCAAGAAAGGACACATGTTGAAAATCTCCAGGGTAGTACCTGAAAGAAAAAATAACTACCAAGATAAAAGGGGAAAAGAAAAGTCAAAAAGGAGAGAAGAAATGAACATAGGAGAACAGAAAGCAAAAATGTAAGTAAATAGATTATATAGTCCAATTAAAAGACAAAGATTGTCAGGATTAAAAAAGCAACAACGCCCAACTACATTCCGCTTACAAGAGACCTTAAATATAGGGGTACGGAAAAGGTTAAAAGCGAAAGAAAGGAATGAGATATGTGGCAGACAAGCCACATGCTGGGAGAAAATGTTTACAACACACATCTGATAAAGGACTGGTCCAAAATATATAAAGAACTCTTAAAAGTCAACAATAAGAAATCAAACAACGCAATTAAAAAGACCAAAAGATCTGAAGAGGTATCTCACCAAAAAAGATATACAGACTGTAAATAAGCAAAGGAAAAGATGCTCCACATCATATGTTATCATATGAGAATTAGAAATGAAAAAAACAACAATGAAATGCCACTACTCACCTATGAAAATAGCTAAAATCCAGAAAACAGAAGACACCAAATGCTGGTGAGGGCAATAGGAACTCATGTTCATTGTTAATGGGAATGCAAAATGGTGCAGCCACTCTGCAAGACAGTCTGGTGGGTTTTTTGTTTTTGTTTTTTTACAAAGGTAAACAGTCTTACCATTACCTAAAACACTTAAAATCTTATGTTCGCAGAAAAAACCTGTACATGAATGTTTATAATGGCTTTATTCATATTACCAAAAACTGGAAGCAACCAATATGAATGGATAAGAAAACTGTGGTAAGACTCCATACAACTGAGTATTATTCAGGGATAAAAAAA